GGTAATCACCCCTCCAGATTTTAGAAGTGCCACCTGCTGCTTGTCCTTCTGGCCCAGAGTCCTAGCTTTCGTTTAAAAAAAATGTATATAGCCCATATGCTATCAAAGATAGAAGGTAAAATGTGGAGTCAATTCCTTGAGCTAGGTTTGTGAGAAGCAGGTCTTTCTGTGTGATCAGACAAGATGTGAAGCCATTCGCAGGTTCATGGCTAAATATTGCAAAGTCGAGAATTATATGCCCTTCTGGAGTTAGCTGATACCTATAGAGGTGCCTCTCCTGTTTAAAGAAAGCAATTAACCCATAGCAATGAATGCCAGCCGGGGAGTTATGGGAACTATCATCCAAGAAAAGGAACTATTCAAAACTTTGACATTCTGGATCTTGTGGTTTGGCAGGGAGTTGAACTCAATGGGCCCTGCATTCCCTTCTAGTTCGAGAATTTTATAGGTGTACAAGTCTATGGTTCTAGGAACTTCCAGTTTACTTCTCCAAGGCCTCTGGAAGCTTAGCTAGGTGTTGCCCCAGGGGAAAGAACTGTGTGTGTGTGTGTGTGTGGAGTGGAGTGAAACTGTGGGTATAAATTATTAAAACAGTTTGCTTGTAAATTTTTCTAGTTGTTAACTGAGCTTATGGTTGCTATGAATCTTAAATTTATGGAAAAAGGTTTCGGACATTGAGAAGGGATTCATTCGATGTGTATTTGTCTTGGCATGGCTCTTTGAACGGCTGATTAAGACAAAAAGTCCTACTGCATGAAATGAGTCGTACAACATTTGCATTGGAAACTGATACCCCTATACTGATTATAAAGCAAAGTTTGGCAGAACTACTTTAGCCGACATGATAAGTGGCTGTTCTGGCTACAGGAGTCTGGATGCTGTTCTTTATTTATTGAAAACCTATTCAAGCTCTGCTATGAGTCTCATTCTTCTCACAGCCTGCAATGAAACAGCATCACAACTAATGAGAGTGGGGATTTAGGAAATAAGTGGCACACTGGCTTGGCACTTGCATGTGAGTGTGGGTAGAGAGGAGTGGGTGTGAAAAATAAGTTTAGCAAATAAAACTAAGCTAGGATATTTTCTAGTTCTAACAAAATATTCAGTCTGCATCTTGGAAGGAATGACAGCTTATTTTTCCTCTGATTTCTGCTGCTTGCCTTCATTTTCACTTGCATTCCTTCCAGGTGACAGGGCATTACTTGTGGGGGATTTCTGTGGTATTCTCATAGATCATGAGAGGCGATTCCTCCTCATCATAGAATCATAGAAAAATGAAGTTGGAAGGGACCTACAAGATCATCAAGTCCAACCCCCTGCTCAGTCCAGGAATATAATCAAAGCATATCTGCCAGGTGATTATCCAAGTTTTTCTTGAATGCCTCCAGTGTTGGAGCACTCACCAACTCCCAAGGTAAATGGTTCCACTGTCATAGTGCTTTAACAGTTAGGAAGTTTTTCCTGATATTCAACCAAAGTCTGGCTTCTTTTAATTTGAGCCCATTGTTGTGTGTCCTGCACTCTGGGATGACTGAGAACAGATCTTGCCCCTCTGTATGACAGGCTTTCTGATATTTCAAAAGTGCTATCATATTTCTATTCTCAAGGCTAAACATGCCCAGTTCTTTCAGCCTTTTCTCATAAGGCTTGGTTTCCAGCCCCCTGATCATCCTTGTCGCCCTCTTCTGAACTGGTTCCAATTTGTTAGCATCCTTCTTGAAGTGTGGTGTCTAGAACTGGACACAGTACTCAAGGTGAAGCCTAACCAGTCCTGAATAGAGGGGGACTAGCAGGATTTGAAAACTATACATCTGTTCATGCAGCCTAAAATAGCATTTGCCTTTTTTGTAGCCACATCACACTATTGGCTCATATTTAGCTTGTGATCTATGACAATTCCAAGATCCTTTTCACTCATAGTTTTGCTGAGCCAGGTATCCCCCACCTTGTAACTGTGCAATTGTTTTCTTTTTCCAAGGTGCAGTACTTTTCACTTATCTGTGTTGAATTTCATTCTGTTGCTTTCGGCCCAGTGCTCCATCCTATCAAGGTCATTTTGTATTTTGTTTCTGTCTTCTAGGGTATTCACTATTCCGCCCAATTTGGCATCATTTGCAAATTTGACAAGCATTCCCTGCACTCCCTCATCCAAGTTATTAATAAAAATATTGAAGAGCACCGGGCCCAGAACTGAGCCTTGGGGCTCAATAAAAACAGATGACCAAAAATACTAGCCATTTTTGGCTAGTATTCCATTCTCGTTTCCATTAATGCTAGAATATTAATGTGTATGGCAAAATGTCATTATGTGTTCATATGTACCAGCCATGTACATGGCTCCTTATTGTGGTCCTCCTCTCCCCATTTTATTCTGAAAAAGGCCCTGAAAGGTAGGATTGGTTTGGAAGTATTGATTGACTGAAAGATACCTGTTGTATACTTAGAGTGCCATAGCAGAAATGACGTCCTTTGGGGTGCACATGGCTTCCTCTCATTGTGTCTAAGTCACAGAGATCCCAGAATCAAAGCAGGGGCTCCACAAGCAACCTGTCCTTCTGCAAGCAGGTGAAGACCTTTGGCTTCAGGCAGGCTTTCCCTTTGTGACTAGCTAGCTATCTGAGAGGGGTTTTAAAAATGAATGCTGTGCCCTCCAGTTTTTAAGTGTATTTTTAATATTGATTTTATTTACCATTTTTAATATAATACTTGTTTGATTCTTTAAAAATGTCTGTATACATTGTTTTTAAGCTTTTAAATATCATTTTTAAATGATGTAGGCACCCTTGAGTTCTTTTAAGGAGAAAAGCAGAGCTAAAATAATGTAAATAAATAATAAATAAATTACGGCTAGACTTTGTATAGGTGACTGTAGCGTTCAGCCCTGCCCTAAAGGCCAACAACAGCAAGCTGATGAGATGGGCCATGATTCTTCAGGACTTTGATTTTGAGGTACGTGTAATAAAAGGGACTCAAAATGGTGCTGCTGATGCCTTCTCAAGAAGACCCGAAGACTAAAGAAGGAAGAAAAGGACTATGGTTTAATGGTGTAAGCAATAAAATGTGTATGTACATAATGCTGAATGTTATATGCTTTGTTCAGAGGAAATTGCATGTAAGTATTTTTAAATGTTGTCGTAAGTTTTATGATATTGTTGGGTTGATGTAGATTGTATTGCTCCTCGTTGTTCATGAGGGTAAAGCACCATAGATTTCCCCCATGAAACAACTTGTTAAGGGGGGAGGTATGTAGCGTTCAGCCCTGCCCTCACCTGTCCGTCACAGCTGGGCAGTGGAACAGCAGCCAATGAGGGGACAGAAGGTGGTGCTAAAGGGGGAGGAAAAGTCAGTGAGAGAAGAGTCTGTAGGGTTTGAGAGAGGTTTTTTGGAGGGTTTTGAGATCTGTGAAAGATTAGTGTGTCTGTGGGCCTGTGAGCCAAAAGTCAGTGAGAGAAGAGTCTGTGTGTGTCAGCAATTGAGAGCCTTTGATTAACTACTTGTGATTTACCCTTTTTATTTTGTTATTCAAATAAACACATTTTGGTTTTAAAACAACACTTGTCTTCTTAAATATTGGATACTATTGGTGGCAGCAACTGAGTAGGGAGAGTGAGCCCTTCTGAAGGCCTGAGACAATAGAGGCTTCAGCATGCTCGCTACAGTGACAAAAATGGTTTACAAGATTTTTCCTCACCATTTTTTTTTAAAATTTACATCTATATATTTAGAAGACTGATAATGCAGTTTGTAGGGGATTTGTATGCAACTGGTCTAGCAAGTATAAAAACTATGTATCATAACATGTGCCACGCAATACTGTATGGGAAAATTCATTCATCATAATTGACTTCAATATTAACATTAATATTAACAGTTAACATTATTGGAGGCCTTTATTAAAGATAGCAGTTCTTTTTAAAAATGCACCAACAAATAGGTATCACATTATGGTTTTATCTTTCTAAATAATTATTATAGAACATGTACGTTAAGTAACCAATATGATTAAATGTTAATAAATCTCCCTCTCTCTAACTGGCATCTCTGATCTCCCTCTCTCTAACTGGCATCTCTGATCCATCTTGCATAAAATATATTAATCTTTTGTCTTCCTTCTTCAATTCAAACACAATTTGTCAACTTTGCTTTTGAGACACATTATTTATCCATACTTTGATCACCAAATATCTTGTCTACAATATTTCTCATATTGTTTTCCTGTTGTCCCAATTGTATTAAAGCTCAAGTCCCAAACCTTAAAAAACAAGCAAGGGTCTTCAACATAAGTGAGTAAGAAAACCATAGAATCTATTATTCATTAGCTTTCTTTTTTTCATTTCTTCTCTGTTATCAATAATTCTTAGCTAAAGGAGAATCAATTATGCAGTTGGACAAAATATTTTTCTTTTTGTCACCACCATCAGTTATTGCTGTTCTTAATCACCTTATTTTTTATGTAAGTCACCTTGGCGGCATCAGAGTATATAACTATATTATTATTTTGAAGCTGTTCTCTTGCAAATGTGCACATATAGAGTGGTAATGTGTTAATTTAATATCAATCTTTAAGTGTGTTTTTTTAGTCAAAAAAGAATTGCTTAGTATGTCTCTTGATGTTAACAGAAGCTAATGCATGACTTTGACTTTTATGTTAAAAGCTGGAAACCAAGTATTACTTAACAAAAAGATAATAGAAAGGCAGCCAAAACTGTATGGTGCTAAAAAAAAATGCTGACTAGACTCCCATGATATTTGCTTAAAGTTTGTGTATCTTGTCACAGCTAACTGATGAGCTAGCACTGCACATCTTGATTGTGCTCTTGGAAGCATGACCAAACAGATGACTGAATTGCATCCTAGTACCTCATCAATTTCCATGTGAGCAAGAGAACTCTTGAAATTTGCCACGGCTAATTGAATGCCAAGCATATGCCAGAATGTAACTGGCCATGCAGTTCTGCATGTGACTGGTATGCAACTGGCACCTCATCAATTAGCCGTGGCAACTTCCACTATCTCGCTTGCTTGAGTGTTTAACTATCCAATAAGATTCTATCTATGGTCAACTATTTTTTAACACTTAATCACACATTTAGGCTGTAATCTTGCATTCATTTATTTGGGAATACATGCCATAAATTGGGCTTTACTTGTGAACACACACATATCAGATTGAGTTGCCAACTTCATACAAAGGCATATAAAATGTTTTGGTGCATCCCCCCCCAAAAAAAAATTACATATGATTTACAGTAGATGCAAAGCCTTTTTGATATGTATACTCTCATAGTTTTTAGCTGTCTACTATGAGATATCATAATTAATCCACTTTTACAGATGGGCAGTTTGTGGTTGAGGGAATTAAACAGATTCAAGGCCATTGGGTACAGCCATAGCTGAACTGGAAGGAACCCTTTACTCTCAGCTCCAAGTTTATCCACCGGACCATAATGGTGATGTTCTCATATGATTAAACACTGGTGAAGAAACCAGTTGACTTACTTTGGGCCTATTTATTTGATACAAATAGTTTGTCACTAGAAGGCATTGTTTAAGAGCAGATTGTGTGTGCCTGGGATATCAGAAAGTTTTATCATGTCTCATAAGGTGTAAATGAGTTTGCTTGCTTTATAACTAATCTACAGATCATAAGGATGTTCTTCATTTGTAAATCTGACTTCTGAGACATGAAAGACTGCCTCAATCATTTCTTTTGGATACAGGTTTAAGTGATTTCAGCTGTAATTATGGGATATATCTGATGTATAGCTTGTTTCTCTCTTTCTCCTTGTTTAACACACTTGTAAACAGCATCCTAGCTTTACTCCTTGAACAGCGTCTACCAAAACTAATTTACTCTAAGACAATACTTCCAGCTGATGAGTTCTGCTGTTGATGGAAAAATCTGATCTCTGTTGGTCCAAAACTAACAGAAGCAGCACAGAAAAATAGTCACCACCCAGCCATTATTGCTTACAATGTCTGTGATAAAAATATTTCTCCTGTGAGTCACTTCTTGCTATGTGTGAAAGATGTATCTGTTAAATTTCTCCTTGAGGCACTTGAATGCCTCTCCCCACCCACCATTGCATTGGTTCTGAACAAACTACACTACAATGATAAGTGTACTGATTATAAGGACGTCTTAAAGCCTGTTTTCTGTCAGTTTTCTTCCCGGGGAGGGCATGATTTGTGCCCAGAGCACGAAGCTGTACATTTTCCTTCTTGATGAATTCTACCCATCCCTTTGGCCAGAATAGCACAGTTCGGCAAACAGCTGTAGAAACCTAATCAAGAAGTTATGTTAAAAACACATCCCTCTTAAAAAGTATCTTGGAAAGGCCGTTTCACTTTTTGCCAACTTTAGAAATAAATGTCACTTGCTTCTCCGTCTTCTAGAACGTCGTTGATGGTTTCTGGCAGCTGAGCTCTTCCCATTACAACGGACACATCGCTGCCACCTCTGCCACTATCGTTATCTTCATCATCATCATCATCATCACCACTACCATCCCTGTCGTCAGCGTTGTCACTGTCACTCTCATTCCTCCTCTGTTCTACCTCACTGTCTTCATCAATCACCACAACATCATCTTTAGCTTCTGGGTCGATGTCTTTTTTAAACCAGACTGCCTTGTAGCCATCATCCGCCACCCGCCTCTCCTTTGTGAGGATGGACCTCACTTCTTTTTCATTATCCAGGCCCTCGTTCTCTTCTTCAGTCTCCGCAATGGCTTCAGGAGCACTTGAGGTGTGGCTGCTTTCTTCTGGGTTCTCTGGAAGAGATGGGGGCCCCGGGTTGTCACCCGCCACCTTAGCACTCAGAGGCAGCTTGTCGTCTTTTCTGTCTGAGTTCAGTTTTTCATCATGTCCAAACATGGCATTGGAAAAGCCTTGCACAGACTGCAAAAGAGAGACACAAATATATACAGTTGCAGAAAAAAGGGAAGGGACTGAGATCAGAGCTTAGAAGAATTCCTTTGGGGGCAAAACTGCCAGATTGCAGGAATTTGTAAACAAACTCTTCCAAGCTTGGATACAGATATGCACAGCATGATCACCTGGATGTTCATTATGTTCATAACAACTATGAATTAGTGTAAGCAATAATTTCTGAGATACACAGGTTACTGGAGTTTATTTCTCCTCTCAGTTTGGATGTCAGAGAATACCCTCAGGAAGGCTCCAACCTGGCCTGTGATCAAGGCCATAAACAAACAGGATGTGTGGGAAGGAACGGGGCTCAGGTTTCTGCCATTTTAATTTGGAAAACCAGGGAGAAAATGCTGGCACTTTGGGTGCGACAAAACGAATGCCACATTATAGCAGCGATGGTTCACATCAACCCTTTCTGGGACATCAGCACATCACCTTGCAATGTCAAGGAAATGCAATAGTTTGTAAAGCAGTGGTTTTCCTGGTGTTGTGATGACCCCAATGCATTAAAAAGGCTAATACAGCCCCACGCCCATCATTGCAACAGTGCAAAATGGAAGCCAGCATAAAATTTAATATAAATCCATACACTGCTTTTCTTTGTATCAAGACCACTCTTTGGCGTTGCATGGGCTGCCTCAAGATGAAAGCATGGCAAATGCCCCCTTACTTTGCTGTTGTCTTCTCCAGGTGTATGCTTCATTTTGTAGTACTTGTAGGAAATCACTCCAAGCAGCACGACGGCAATGACCAGTAAACTCCCCAAAGTTCCACCCAGAGCAGCCATGTTTCTCACATATTCATCATATGGAACAGTGCCACCTGCAGAGAGCATAAAATACATCTTACGTGCCTTGACATTCCATCCAATAAGAGCTGCTTCAGCTGCTCTATAGCAGTTCCAGAAGAATCCTAACTTAAATCATTATAAAAAGAACACCAGCTCCTGCTCCTGGACAGCCTTTTACACTAGCTTGGCATTCAGAAGTGTATTAAATGACACACATCCATAAAGTGAAACTATTACTTGCACATTAATTGCAATTATATTTGTGTTCATGGATCTCTTATATAACTTGCTATGGCAGATACTTCCCTTTTGCGGGTGTGAGTCTCTGTTAACAATCAGGAGAATGATCAGATATGTGATCATCCTCCTTAGGACCTGTCCACCCTAAGCATTTGTTCAACTGTCTTTGCACTCGTGATACTGGTACTGCATCCCAATAACCACATGACAGAAGGCTGAAAGCAATGTCAATCGGGTCAAAGCAGGACAAAAAACAAAACAGAACAAAATCCAACCTTGCTTTCAGTCCTTTTTATGCCACATTGGGTAGTGGTGTATTTTTGTTCTGTTTTTCTCCCCTTTTTGCTCCAGCAGAGGATCACCTGGTATGAACTCCAGTATCCTGTTGATGCATGCTGATCTGTACACTTTATGGGTGTGTGTCACTTGATCATGTTTCCTTATGGGTGTTTTTTCTGCTGGTCAATCTCTACCCCTCCATGCCTTAACTGTCAGTCCTGTGTGGTTTCCTTGGGACACCAGCTGTTCCTGGGTCTGGGCATTGTAATTTTTAACAATTTTTAATGCTGTCAATTTTGCACCATAAGACAAAAATGAAAACTAAAAATGAAAAAGTTAAGAGAAACCATGAAGGTTTTAGAATGGTGGATGGGTAAAAACAAGAATGGAATAAAAGCAAGATTGGGGTATGCAGGGACAAAGCAAAAATACTAGTTAGTGGATTCTGTTTTTCTATTTTTACAAAATGGTACTGGTTTTGAATTTGACCCAACTCCAGGAGGGAGTAGAAGACAAGAGGGCCTGGCGCGTTCTGGTCCATGGGGTCATGAAGAGTCAGACACAATTTAACAGCTAATCAACAACAACCACTTTTGTATACCATAGTACAAAAGTAAAAAATCAAAAATGACAAACATTAACACTAGAAAGCACTGAGACAAACCTGACAGTTTGGTGGACAATCTATACTGAGAAATGCAGCTGGAAAGTGTGTATAGGTTGGTTCTGCTGGATCTATTGACAGTCTTTGATAACATCTACTATCACATGGGGTCATAAAGAGTCGGATGCGACTTAACGACTAAACAAAAACAACTATCACATTCTTCTGGGTTGCCTCTCTGGAATGGGACATGGACACACTGTTTATTGGTGGCTGTGGTCCATCCTAGAGGAGCAAGTTCACAAGATGGCACTGGAGGATTCCTATTCATGGCCACTGAGCTGCGGGGGGCGGTCTCTTCACAGCTCTTATCATGTCCCTGATGCAATTTAATATATAAATGAAATCACTGGGAGACTTTGCTTGCTGTTTGAAATTCATTGCTACCAGAATGTTGTTCCTCCTTTCCACATAAAGAAACTATTTGGAAATAAGTTTTTAGGATCAGGAAATGTATTCCAGAACTTTTTCTGGAGATGGAAAATCTTACAGATTGTATGTCTTTCTACAGTTAGCAGGACAATAGCTCTGATGCGAGCCAACATTTATACAAAGCTTAGAGCCCAAAGGAGAATGGAAAAGATCAATAACTACAGAACTAACTTTTAGGTTGGTTACACATCATAGCCTTTTAGCATGACTGATGCATTGCTTTGCTGGCATTCTCAAAACTGGCTTTTCCCTCTTTCTGAACTCAAATCACATAAACATTAGACAGCGAGACATTCTACAGAAAAAGGCATATAAAGTATACATTTTGACATTTTAAAGATATCAACTTTTGTGTTGATGCTTTTGAAATAAAACTTTGTGTCAATGCTTTTAAGATAAGAAGAGTTAGTTTATTATATGAGCCTCGTGGCGCAGTGGTTAAATTTATTATATGACAATATGTAGGGAGCAAAGATGGGGAGGCAACAGCCTCAGCTCCCCCCACCCCATCCCTTTAGGAGGCCTCTTTGGATAAAATATACTGTATGAAGTTTTCATTCCCCTTCTTTCCCTGTTTTCCAGTTTCCTTCGTAAAATAGAAGCCAAACTATCCCAGGTCTTTGAAACAGCCCAGTGAGTGCTGAACTGCTCAGAACTGACCAGCTGTGCTTTGCCTTCACATATCCATCCCACTCAAATTGCAAGCCAGGGCTTTCTTGCTTGCCCATGGAATTTCCACTTCCTCATTTCACACTTCACATCCTTGTGCCCTCACTATCAGGCAATCTCCTGTTTTATGGTATTAATATAAATGTGCCAACCATCAATGTCGTATCTATAATCGCTAGCATTATGGACTTTGATTATTGCTTGCAAGTTTTGAAAATTCCTGAGTTTATCATTAACACAGGACAAAATGACATTTGCCTCCACAAAAAGGATCAACACCACAAGTAGAGAGGATTCTAATAAGGCACAAAATTACTGAATCACCCATCTCTAATACTTTGTGGCTTAAGCCCTAGTGACAAGATACCTATGCACATCTTTTTCTGTCCAGAGTCAATACTGACAGGTTAGATAAACCAAGGATCTTGACAGTAATGTGCCTTCAACTGAAGTGACCGTGGGCCTGTTTTATAGAGGACAGTCCACTTGTTGAAAGGTTATCCAGTCTGAGTCCAAATTAAAGATCAACAAGTGTTAAAAAAAAGAATTGAGAGAGAGACGTTCACTGTGCTTAAGTGAAAAACCATCTTCTAATAGTCTCTAGATGTCTATCCAATTTAAAGAGTTTGATGAGGGGAGTTGTCCTTTTTGGGGGGACATTTTGTCTCCTCATTGGAACTGCAAAAGAAGTTACTGTCAAGAGCCTAAAGGCTCAGCTAAATATTCACCCAGTTTGGTAAAACAAAATAGCAACAACAAGAAAACCTCCCATCAACTTTAAGAGGACTGACTCTAAACCCAACTGCACTCACCCCGGTTTGGGGGGGGGGCAGGTTCAGTACTATTGTTTGTTTTCTCTGTCATCTCTTAAAAGCCACATTAAATGTCTTCCTTTAAGTGGCAATCAAATGCACACCAAGATTACATGAAGACTTTTATTAGTAGTAGGATGATTGCAATAAGTTTGTATGGAACTTCAAAACACATTGTAGTCCTTCGCAGGTGAGTCCCCTGATACTACGCATTGGAAACATGGATGATAGCAGCTATAAATAGAAGCAAATATTAGATTCAAGGCCATTCCTGACACATTGTTCTCCCTTCATGGTGTACTCAAACCAACTCCCATCTGAACAATAATCCAGCCCTACATAATGGACGGACAGCTTGCTTTGCTGTGCTTGGAACACCAGTGCATCCTTATAGAATCATAGGGATATTTACTCAGAAGTAAGTTCCCTTGTGTTCAGTGGAGCTTACTCCCAAGAAGGTGCACACAGAATTGCCGCTTTAACTACTTTTCGGGGAAAGGTATTTGGTATAATCCTCAACCTATTTACTCAGAGGCCAGTCCTGATTTAGTAGCATAGTACTTGCCGGCTGAATTAAGTGTTCCATCCCATTCAAACATCTCTGAGCCTGCAACACTTCCAACCCAGCATTATGCGTGCTTTTCTAACTGGTTCCCCCTCTCTCTTTCCCCCTTGCTGTCTGCATAGCTATCAGCTTGGAAGGAAATATATGATTGTACAGATTTGGTGGAAGGAAGGCAGCTAGGTTATGTGTAGCTACAGCAAGACAAGGCAGCTGGGTTCATACTCAGAGATATTTCACTTATACTCAAGGATAGTGGGAATGTATGCCGCCCCTCATATGCTGCTGTATCACAGCTCCCATTATCCCTTGCCCCTGGTTTTGCTTGCTAGGGCTGTTGGGAACAGCAATCCAAAAGCTGCTATCTAGCGACTTCCACAGGGCCACAACCTCATAATCCTGAAAGGAAGAGGGATGGAAAAGACAAACAAACAAATAAATAAAGAATAGTGTGATCATTTGTTGTTTTTAGCTGTTAATATTGTTTCTTTCCATGCTTTAAGCTGCCTTGGGTTATTTTTTTAAGGAGAAAGGCAGCATAAAAAATGGCCTGAATCCAACTGGTAGTCTCAACAAGAAAAGTTTCAATTTACCAATAGGGTTTATGTATGCGATAACTATTGATTTAATAGGCCGACTATAGATTGGGAGTAGCAACAGGACAAAGGTCAAAGTTTTTTGTTTTTTATTTTAAGAACTGGTAGAGGAAAGGTGGTGGTCCTGCAGGTTAAACTGCAGAAGCCTCTGTGCTGCAAGATCAGAAGACCTGCAGTTGTAAGATCGAATCCACGTGACAGAGTGGGCCCCTGTCACTTGTCCCAGCTCCTGCCAACCTAGCAGTTTGAAAGCATGCAAAATGCCAGTAGATAAATAGGTACCACCACGGTGGGAAGGAAACAGCGTTCAGCGTCTAGTCGCGCTGGCCACGTGACCACAGAAACTGTCTTTGGAGAAATGCTAGCTCTATCGGTTGGAAACGGAGATGAGCACAGCCCCCTAGAGTCAGACACGACTGGACAAATTGTCAAGGGGAGCCTTTACCTTTACCTAGAGGTCTGTGGAGGGGGACAACCATGTTCTGGTTGTAAATATGCCTATAACAATCTGCTCTCCAAAATGCCGAGATTTGGAGTGTTTGGAAAATAGGACATTGTAGTAATGATAAATATATATATAGGTATTTTTAGTAGCACATACATATTTTTATGCCTGTTATTTGCATCACAAGCCTGTCTCCTGAGCTTCATTCCCACATCACCTCTGAATTCCCTTGATTGTTATAATTATTTTCTATCTAGCTTTCTTATTCCTTAGCTTCAATTACCCTCTCATTCTGCCTTTCATTTCATTCGTCCTATTCCATGTTTTATTTATCATTCTCATATTTGTGGTTGCTCAATATTAACTTACATCTCCCTACAGGATTCAGATTAAACTTGTTTCTTGAACATACATATGCCTTTGTGCCATGCATCCTTCTTATCTTTCTGCCATCTCTTTTATCCTTCTTCTCTCTCTAAAAGTTTCTAGTCAAACTCCAAATCTCTTGGGTTTATCTGGCTTAAATCTTTTCCACATTGTCCCTTATCTCTGGATTTCTTTCCTCCATATACTAAATGCTTTCTGTCTATCCCTGTCCTTTCTCCTGGTTCTCCAGGGAGCCTGCTGGAGGAAGGGACAGTTCACTCTTGTAAGTTTTGAGAGATATGAACCACAGTGTGGAAATGCTACTTTTAAAAAGTGAAAATTCTAGCAGTCCTTGCATGCTACTGCAAGCTCTGAATTCTGTGCAATAATTAGTAACAAATCTACTGTGAATATTTTTGGAAGTTTCTTTCACTGTTGGCCCCAGTTCATATATGATCAGTGGCTTGTTGTTTCCACCACAGATAACACACAATGACATTATCACCTGGGCTTGTTTCACATCGCGGTATGTCATGGGTTTTATTAACCACGGTTTGTTGCTTAATCCATTAATTGCATGACAGACAACTCAATACCCTGTTGCTCATTTCCCCCATTTCTGGCTTGTTTCTTTTTCTCTTGACTCCTTTTTAGCTCTTGTTTCAGAGCAAGGGACAAATCACATTTACAAGTCTGAGTGTCACAACAAGCCATGTTTTAAATAAACAATGGATTCTGATAAGGGCTTGCTAGAAGTATCAGGCTTGCCAATTGCCACAAACTAAATGAAACTCTGGGCTAACATGGTGAAATTGTGGGGGTTAGCATAACTTTTCTTGATATTTAACTGCTGTGTGAGCAGATGTGTGCTGAAAATTTTCAGTTTAACTCAGCTTTTGAGGGATGTCAATGAAAGGGGTTCCAGAAAACAAATCTGTCTTGAGTTTAGGGAAAAACTGTCAGGTTAATGGAAAGTCTGGAGAATTAGTACGGAAAGTCTAGAGCTGGTAAAGATCAGTATATTGACTGCCGGTTAATGGAAAGTCTGGAGAATTTGTACGGAAAGTCTACAGCTGGTAAAGATCAGTATATTGACTGCCACTTTCCAATTCAGTGCCTCCTCACAGGTTAATGCAGCATCGTCATGGGACGACTGATGATGGATGACACCTAAGTACTGAAAAACATGTGTAAAGATTACTTTATATTGGATATATACATTAAAATGCAGGTTTATGTATTGGGTCTTGAAAATTAAAATGAACCTCCCAAGCAGGTCAGCTAAGAATGCTAACCCTAAGAGAGGTTTGGATGGAGAAGGTGAGAAACCAGGCCTTCTCAGAAGTTGCTCCTCCGTTGTGGAATGAACTCCCTCCTGCAATACGTCTGGCCCCTTCACTGGTGATTTTTTTAAAAGTTACTTAAAAACTTTGCTATTCAGGCAGGCATTCCAAAATATTATATCTGTGGACTCAGTTGAATTTGTTTAGCCTCAACATAAATATGTCCAATGTTTTAAATGTTTTTATATAATTGCATTTTAATAAACTTTGGTGGTACCATTTTTGTATTTTATTATTTTCTATTTGCTGTATGTCAAATTATTATTTTGCTGTATGTCAAATTATTATTTTCTTTTTGCTGTAGGTCAAAGTGATAATTAATTATGCTGTTGGATGTTGTGTTGTAAAGTGCACAGATGGGCAATATAAATAAATAAA